CACTCCTCCGTCTCTCCTCTTCCTTCCTTCTCTCTTCCGCGGTCTTGATTTTCAGGTCCACACTCCTCCGTCTCTCCTCTTCCTTCCTTCTCTCTTCCGCGGTCTTGATTTTCAGGTCCACACTCCTCCGTCTCTCCTCTTCCTTTCTTTTCTCTTTCCCGCTGTCGCTTTTGAGGTCCACACTCCTCCGTCTCTCCTCTTCCTTTCTTTTCTCTTTCCCGCTGTCGCTTTTGAGGTCCACACTCTTCCTTCTCTCCTCTTCATTCCCTTTCTCTTTCCCCTTGTTTTTTACTTCTGCATCTTTCCTTTTTTCCTTCTCTATCTTTACCGATTCCTTACTGCTTGAAGAAAACTTATCCCTGTCCTTCTTCGCCTTCCCCCTCTCCATCCTCACCGCCGCTAATTCTTCTTTCCCCCGCGCGCGCCAGCGCGCCGGAGCCGCGGCCCTGGATCCTGGCAGGTGTGGCCCTGGTGTGGGGCTCAAGGTGGAGACGTAGGTCCAGAAGGCGTGGGCCACACCCGCGGTCACAGGGTCGCAGGCCGGGCCAGTGAGCGCAGCTGGCTTTTGCTTTAGCGCTGTCTAGAGCTGGCAGCTGATTCGGCCAACTTGAGATGAAGGAGTGACGGGTCGAAGAGGGGAGGGCCAGGATGCTAGAGGTTGGATAGAGTCAGTCTAGAGGAACCTGGTGATCCTCAGCAGAGAACTGGGAGAAGCAGGCAAGGCGGATGGGCTGCTTTTGTTGGACGTCCATAGGCACCCCTTGCTCCAGAAGGCCCAAAGGCACGCTTTGGCAGTGTTGGGGAAAAGCCTCCTAAGAGTTTCAGCTTCAACCCCCCATTTGCTCTGCCAGGCCATGCCTCTAACTTAAGAATACCTAAGGCGCTGAGCTCCAGGAGTCCAGTCGAAGAGAGAAGAGGGATTCTATGAGCAAGGGGCATCAAGATCATGATGGGAAAACAGAGAGAGACAACCAAACCAGACTAGTGGGAAACCATGAACTGTGGACCAAGAGCTGAGAGCCTCCACGGGACTGGACTAGGCTCTCTGCATAGGCGAGATAGTTGTTTAGCTTGACTTAAGAGCCCCCAGGCAGCGTGTTCAGGATCTGTCCCCTGGTGCACGAGCTGGCGTTTTGGAGCCCAGTACCTATAGTGGGACACCTTGCAAGCCTTGGTGCAGGGGGGAGGGGCTTGGACCTGCCTCAATTGAATGTACCAGGCTCTGCTGACTTCCCATGGGAGACCTTGCCTTGGAGGAGGTGGGAATGGGGGTGGGTTGGGGAGGAAGGCTGAGGGGAGGGGCGAAAGGAGGGAGGAGAGGGGCATCTGTGATTGGTATGTAAAATGAACAGAAAATTTCTTAAAGATTCCCCACCTTTCCCCAGCTTACAACCACTACCCCAGAATGTAGGTTACACATTTGCCTACCCCCATCCCATGTGAATTCCACTAGGAGCAACAAAAACGGCTGTTCTTCAGGATTGTCAGCTAAGGACAGAGATTGCAGGTCCTGACAGGACAGATATCAAAACTGAAATGAGGCAAAGTCTAATGCCCCTCCGCGATCAGTGTGTAGCAGCTTAAGCACCCCAAGTGAGGTGGTATGTTTAAACTAGCTGAGGAACTCGTGGTTCTCTTCATTTCTAGCTGGACTTGGGTGGTTTTTAGGGATGGGGTGTAGGTGATGATAAGAGTGCTGAGTAAGGGCCCTGGGTTCCTGCTCAGCAAAGATGATGTGTAACATCAGGACATGGGCACCTCATGCCTATATTCTACAGCTGGCAAGGCTGAGTGAGGACTGCTTGAGTTTGAGTCCAGACTGAAGCTACACAGTAATCCCCCCCCTTTTTCCAAACAGGGTTTCTCTGTATAGTTTTGGTGTCTGTCCTGGATCTCGCTCTGTAGACCAGGCTGGCCTCGAACTCACAGAGATCCGCCTGGCTCTGCCTCCTGAGAGCTGGGATTAAAGGCGTGCGCCACCATTGCCTGGCACTACACAGTGATTTTTAATGCCAGGCTAGTGTGTTGAGACCCTCTTCTCCACCATATGGAAAATTTTAGTTTTTACATGAAACTGATTTTCTTTCATCAGATGTTTCAAATAAGCTGATAAGGAATGATGGCAAGTTCCAGAAGGCTTCAGTGATAGGACAGTTTTTTTTTTTTTTTTTTTTTTTTTTGGTTTTTCAAGACAGGGTTTCTCTGTGTAGCTTTGCGCCTTTTCCTGGAACTGCTTTGGAGACCAGGCTGGCCTGGAACTCACAGAGATCCGCCTGGCTCTGCCTCCCGAGTGCTGGGATTAAAGGCGTGCGCCACCACTGCCCGGCTGATAGGTCAGTTTTTAATGTTAGCTATCTTTAGCTGTCTTGAAAATGCTAGGCTAGGGGCTGGAGAGACAGCTCAGTGGTTAAGAGCACTGGCTGCTTTTCCAGAGGCCCTGGGTTCAGTTCCCAGCACCCACCTACATGGCAACTAACAGCTGGCTTGACTCCAGTTCCAG